GAATCGTGTATGCAGTGATGGTCCATCGATCACCTGTCCAAGGCTGTGCCTGATGCCAAAGCTTGGGGTGGAAGGATAACATTCGATCATGAGTGTCGTAGACTCTTCCATTGACTTCGAGTCCCCCCGTAACCTTGACGCACTTTGATTTCCCACCAGCTACACCTTCTCTGCGAAATACGGGAAAGTCGTCCTTCTGCTCAACCCATACGGAACCACCTTGATAGCTTCCAACACCTAGAGTGTGATTGAGCGAGTCATCATGATTCAACAAGTCTCGATGCACCCGGCGATTGCCACCATGGTTAATGCAGATGGACGTAAAGGTATCTTTCAACCCTCTTGACTTCATGAAGGCGATCAGGTACTTGGTCAGCTGAGCATGACGGTCTACAGAGGTTGTGATTCCAGTCATACCGCTAAAAATCCAAGCGCCGATGATTATGTAGTCCCTGCCAACTTCATCTTCAACCGAGTCGTCATTTTCAGTAGCTTTCATTCTCCTCGAATTCCCTGTAGACTTGAATGGTGTCAACTTCAAAAGTTTGTAACACGATCCCAGACGAAAGTCGCCGTTGATCCGAAGTTCCCTTGCATATCCCTCAGCCTCTTCAAGCGAAAGAACCAAATCATTCTTATGGTCCTCATCGGGCTGGGGCTTCCGCCTCGCAGGTACCGCCACACCTTCCTTCCACGATTTGAGGTAGGGGACGTAATCCTTCACATCCATATATATCCGCTCACCGCTGGGTGACTGAAAGTAAGGTCTTGTACCCGATCTCCAAACGAAATCGAATCCCTCTTCCATGCACCTGTAACCAACGGATAGAACAGAGGGTGTGCTAGGCAACACGTATGGATGGCTGTCGATTCCAAGTGAAGGAACTGCGATGTTAGACTGAATCTCAGCAGTGCTAGGCCCATTAGCCGTCACAATACCGATTGGATTCTGGGAACGATGGCTTCTCAAAGATCCGAGATCCCCCTGTGAAACCAGGTCCTGGGCGCTGCCGGTGTCCGCGATCCACTCAATGTCGAGCTGCTGGGCTTCCGCTTTGGTAGCTGCAACACAGGTAGCTTCAATGTGTTTCGGAATGCACTTGTCGCAACCGAATTCCGTGTCACACTCATAACCACATTTAGCCCTTATCCCGGAACCATATGCATCCAGAGTTGCTTTAAGCATCCTGGCAGTCGTCAGTGCATCTTTGACGTCCTGTTGACTAGGTCTAGGAGGTTCCCCACCGAAGGACTTCAAGTACCTCCGTGTCTCGGGTTCTGTCGGCAACATCTTTCCGTCAGGTGGGATGTTGATGAGCATCGGATTATCGTCGAAACGAATAGCTGGCAACGCACATGAAAAGGTAGCTGACATGTCACCACGACTATCGGGCATATCCTTCCGGAATGCATAAGCAGCGTCGGCTTGGGTACCCGATGCCGCGGCGATCAATGCCCCTAGGATGCAGACCGCAGCGGGAACTTTTGGTGATTTTGGACCCTTTCGCTTGTCCGAACCCTTGCTGCCCTTAGAGTTCTTCGACCCCTGAGAGCCCTTCGAGTTGGACCGCGACTTGCGATGGCCCTTCTTTTCCTTCTTTTCTTTCCCTTTGCTGCCTGCGCTTCCTGGTCTTCCCCCCTGAGAGCCGCCTTGTGACGCCGCAGCAGCGCTTGGCTTGCCTGTGTGGAGGAACTTGCATGCACTTCCTTTGTTGCATCGCCCACTCTTCCAGAACTTGCATTCTCTGGGTTTTCCGTCGTTGCCAGACGGTGACTGAGCGCGACCTCCACCTCTTGAATGCGACCGGCCTCTCTTCTCAGGGATCTCATGCTTGTACTTGCATTTGTCTCCTTTGCTACACTTACCGTTCTGTACGAACTCGAAACAAAATCCCTTAGGGACGAATTTCTTCTTGGGAGCGGGGGCAGATGGTTTCCCATCAGCACCATATTGCTTGGCAATCCGTTCCCGGTTGCGTTCAAGACGCTTGCGACTCAAGTAGTTCGTAGCCGCATCATACAAAAACTTGTAGGTCTTCTCTGGCTGCCCTGGTGTTGCCCTTTCATAGATGTTGATATCATGTGCGAGGTCTTTGAAGCGCTTAATCTGCCTATGGAACAAGGGCTCAAGGAAGTTCTCATCGGGGGTAGTCTGGATCCCTGACAATACAGTTTCCCAGTTGTGCATGAAAGTCTCAAGCTTCTCGTTGACCATCTTGACTGACAAGAGATCCTCAAACTCGTAAACTGAACCATGCTGTGCGTTGGTAGAAAAGAAATTATCCAACTTGAAAAGCACTTGTCGTCCCCGAACAAGTCTCCCGGCATTTGCCTCTCGCTCCTTGAAGGTATCAACCTGTCTCGCAAAGGCACCTTCCAGGATGTTAGTGACCGCCGACAGTACCTTAGCATCCAAAGTGACGAACCCTTCCGGGTCGTGAAGATCTTCTTCCTTGACATCTTTCTCCCAAACCTTGGAAAGCCACGAAAAGGCATCATCAGGACGATCGGATGCGGCAACGACCGCTTCACGAACCCTTAGCCTCCAATTCCTGTAGCTCTCAGGTTGCGGGAACTTGGGGAAGGTAATCTTCTCAGCTTCTTTCACTTTGGGCTTGTCGTCTTTCTCGGGTTTTTCACCACGGTCACCAACAGCTTCACTCATCCGCTTAAGGAGCTTCTTCATGGTCTTCCTATCAATGCGGGATGATGAAGAACTCGAATCATCAGAGCTACTGCTAGAGCTAGAAGGGGAAGACGAAGGATCTCGCCTACGTCGCCTGCGCGACTTCTTCTTCTTATGCTTCTTATCCTTCTTAGACTTCCGACTGCGACGATCATGATCATCATCGCCTCCGCTGGGGCCGTTGCCATCAGGCCCGCCGCCACCACCACCGCCACCTGGGCTGAAGCCATCTGGAGGGGTTCGCCTCCCGGCGTCCGTCGCCTGCTCTGTAGGAGTGTCACCTCCATGCTTCGGGGTGGAAATGGGATGCACGGGAATGCCGGGTGGAGGCCCTTGCGGAATTCCCTCTTGAATCCTCAAAGCAGCATCTCTAGCTTCGAAATCTCGAACCCTGGAGCTCAATGCACTATTCTGCTGAATCAATACTTCTGTCTGCTGACGCTGGGCTTGAAGCTGCCTCATCAGTTCGTCCATCCGAGATGACATGTCAGCGACCTCATGGGATCGCATTGCATCATTCTGACGGGCAGAAGTTTCCACTTCGCGAAGGCGCCTGGCATTGCTGTTAGCTTCCTCTAAAGCTCTACGGGCAGCTTCCGCTTGCCGATTGGCTTCAATGACAGCGAGTTCCCTCGCGCTTTCGGTTTGTTGGAAACGAACTTCACCTTGACCCATTTCAGACCTCTGAATCGACAACGCAATGTTAGCATTGCCTAATTCGTTCCTCAACTTGTTCACCTCTGCAAGCCCACTATTGTACATTGCACGGAGCTGCTCCTGATGTTCTGCTCCCAATTCGCCGATAATCTGATTGTGTCGTGCCTCGGCGGCAAAGGCGACCATCGGAGATGCATCCTGACTAATCGTCAACTGCCTGGCATCGACAACCTGTAGGTTCTGGGTAAGGCTTGCTTGATGATAGTGAGGTGAATAGATTGGTGTTGATGGGCTGGGCAAGCCCGTAGCATGAGCCAATGGTCCAGGTATTCCTACCGGAGTAACAGGTGCAATAGACACTGGCGTAGTAGGGACACGTTCTCTAAGCAACGAATCACTGGGAGAGTGCGCTGCATCGTGTGACATGATTGCCAGTCCGTCATTCGGCAAATGACTATCACCTGTTGGCATTAATGGAGGAAATCCTTGATCACTTGCTTCATCAGTTGCCAATGTCATATCTGAGATACCCGTTGGCACTGGCTCGGCTGTGTCCTCCATTCCGGTGTTACCTGCAGGATTTCAGGAGCGACCTGGAAAAGGATATGGCTCGACTAGGCTACGGCTGATAACCTATAGATAGTGCACGATAGCACGAATCGCACACACACTTTTTGTCTTGAGCCAAACAACAGTAAAGGTCGGTAGACATACGTACAAAGAGCAATAAAACATAAAATGCTTATGCTTATGTCCTTTTTGGGTCCCTAAACGAATGGTCGTAGGCAGAAAAGGCATTCTGCCGACCGGGTATTGACCCTTCATCCCTTATCGGAACAGCTATCTCTCACATCGGGAGTGATTAGGGATCGCCCCGATCACTGCCAGGACCGTCACCATACGATCATGTCACTTCACCAGGGTCATGAACATCGCCATCGTCGACGGCATCTTGCTCATCGCGCTCACCCGCATCATCATCGGCAGTTTCACCGATCATCATCGTCACACAATCAGCACGAGCAGTGCAACAAGCAGGTTCCTCACCAACCCAGTGATCAACATAAGCACCATATGGTCATAGTCCACCTCCGATGCAGCCGCCGCCGCGACAATCCCACCACCACCACCACCAACCACCACCCACCAGCACCCACCAGCGCCGTCGGTCTAAGGCGCAGTTTCTTGGAAACATGGTCGGGTTCCTGAATACTAAAGTTACAAAATCGGAAATGATCGGAAAGAGTTCCCGGACAAGAAACCGAAGAACACAGCTGGCGAACATGCTTAAGACTCTACACCCCGAGCCCTCTGCGTTTAAGATGGGCCTGTGACAAAAGGGTTTAGGATTGAGGGACTGTGGTCCATTTTTTACGATTAGGGTTAAGGTTTGCCGACGGTGTTTAGAACCCGAGTTCCGCAACCCAGAACCAAAAAAGCTGCCCGAAACCTCCGATCCCTCCAAAGACCCCTGTGTACACGGGCCTGAATGATTAGAACAGGGTTTCGCTTGCACCGTCGTCTAATGGTAAGGAACCCCTAGCGGAAAGTATCGGGAATTATGCAGGTTTCTACAACAGACATAAAACCCCAAACCCACGAACCCCGAACCCTAAAACCAAAACCCTAAGCCCTAAACCCGTTGCAAGGAGATCTCCTGGTACTCTGTAAGGTGGCCCTCGCAGAGCAGCTCCTCATGGGCTCTAACGACCGCCATGTGCAGCAGCACGTCGATTCGGACCTGCTTAGGTGGACTGAATGGCCGTCTCGGCTTGAAACCTGAGGCCTGAGGGTATTGCGTTTAGGTTTTCAGGTTGTGGGTTTAGGAGGGCGGTGGATTATGGGTTGTCGGGTCTCTGTTTTGGATTTCATGGAGTAGGGAAGGGGGTGTCGGCATCGGTGTGGTTGGATTTAGCGCCCAAGCAAACATTATGCTGACCTCATCGCCAGCATTTGGGCGGCAACGCGTTTGCTCTGTTCTCAAACACTCAGGGAAGGAGGCATTGTTCTATCACGCATGCTAGCGCTTGTGGAAAGGATGATGGGCACTGCAGTGGAGTAGCCAACAACAAAAGTGACAGGTTCGCAGCAGCAAGGGGCTGCTGATGAGAGCCTGCGTAAAGTTCAAGACTGTACTATACTGAACTTAGAACCCTAGCACAAATTGTAATTTTAGCTGTTTCTTAGGGATTATAATAGCCAAAAATTAAAAAGTATTTCTAAGTACGCCTAAGGTTAGGCTTGCTAGATTTCGGGCCTCTCATAGGTCGTTGATGACATGGACGCAGGCTTCTTCTAGGATCCCCAGTAACTTAGTAGGGTTGCTTAAAGGGCTCCTTTAAGGGATCCTTTAGGGTTTAGGGTTTAGGGATCTATAAGGGAACTAGGATCCCCAGTAACCTAAGAATAAAAAGGCCTCTCTTTTTGGTATTGGGTAACTTTATAGGGAACCTAGGACTACAAAAAGGGAATAAGGGTACTACTGGGCATCCTAGTCTTTCACCGACATTCGCTCAACATCCTTGTGAAACGCGAACCACACGATTTTGACGACACGGTTGGGTGCGCGACCCTGAAGCCCCAGCCAAGATGCTGTGTACATGGGAAACAGCAGGTCCACTTTGTCGGCATCTTCGGTAGTAGGCCTTCGCATGCTTCGGATGACGTCGGGCCCGCGCTTCACTGTTCACTGCCCGTCACCGAAGAGAAGGTTCCAGGGGAGATTGCAGAAGATGCGGTTCAGGAATTCGGAGCTCATAGCAAAAATGACTTAGTATCAATACTGACAGCCGAATGCCAAGCTCAAGTCTGGTTTTGTATTGTGGCTGTTGCTCATCGTATGGTCGCGCTCGTTTTCATATCATCGCCATCCCTCCTTGTCTGCCTTTTGAATTTCAGATGTTGGAGCCTCACGGGATACGAATCGAAACCTCGGGCGGCTGAGATACAGGGGTCGGAATAGTTAGCAATAGCATTCCCTTATAGGTATGGTGTCTGTTGTAGTTATAGTACAGTCTACTCCAAATCCCTATTCTGAGGCTTAAGGCCCCGACATTAGCCAAGTGTACCTTCCTTTTGAAACAGGTTCAACAGTGTGCTCGTATTGACGATTCCGACTGCACAAGAAGCCCAAGAGCCGCACGTGGGATCTGAGAGGTTCCACCCCAAAACCCTAAACCCTAAACCCTAAACCGTGGCTCTGAGAGGTTCCGTGCCCCGGGACTGCCCTAAACCCTGAACTCCAGCTCCTGCCTCTGGCCCTGCCGCAAAGCAGTTACGAAGTTGTCAAGCGCCGTGGGTGCCATGATGGACCAAAAAAAGTGCAGAGCTGAGGCTCACATGGGGGTTTAGGGTTAAGGGCTCTATAGTGAGAAGGAAGTTCTTTGAGTTCAAGAAATCCTGTACAGCCAAAAACACCTTGAAAGGATCACAATCGAGAGCCGATCCTGCATGTCGGCTCGCTTGAGAGCCCCTCCTGTTTGCAAGACAGACACCCCAGACAGTCATTGAGCCTCGTTTCAAGTCTCTGTTGCTTTGCTTGCTTGTGGGCGGGGTGTGATGTGGTGGGGGCACCGGTCCATTTACAACTCGAAGCTTACAGCTTACATGCTGCAAGGCTGCCAAACCCAAAAACCTACCCCTCTTGGACAACCTGAATTCTAGCAGGACCGCCTTGCATCAAGATGCCAAGATGCCCAGAGACTCCAATATCCCTTAATTCAGGAATTTTCCTCACATCGTATTAGGGATACGATTGGAGTCTCTGGGTTCTGCGCGTTCAGGTTTTAGGGCTAGATGTTGCGTGGCATCCCTCCAGTCATCGTCCTTTCTATTCCGAACTCAGTTGTCTGACACTCCAAGTGGATGACTACTTAGAGGATCATGGGACTTAGTAAGTAGGTTATAATCGGGGTTATAAGTCCCCTAAGTGGGGTTATCCTAATTATAAGCTACTTATAACCCTACTTACTAAGTCCCAGGAGCCTCTAAGTAGTCCAGGTTGGCAGCAAGAAGGCCTCTGAACAAATATCCGTATCAGCATTATTGTTGTCTGTGTTATCTTTATCTTTATTTTCCATTCTTAATACTACAACTTTTGGGTTATTGTTATTCTTACATATTCGTAAATCAAATCCTCCGAACATACAAAATGTTCCAAACATCGACCTACGCCGCCCAAAGACCTAACACTTGACAAAACCGAATCTGCCTTCAGGCAGAAAGAAACACCTCCATGGACAGAATCACAACAGACTATCGTTGTTAGGAAATACGACGCTTCTTATCGAAATGTGGCTGTAGGTGCTGAGAATGTGACCACGGAGATTTAACTTGATGATTATGTTCTGTCTGCCAAAGCGTCGGTTCTGCATCTTGTAATTTTGGTGGTACTGCCCTAACCCCAAATCCTTCGACAGTGACCCCTTACACCATAGTTATAATAAGAAACCCCCTAAAATAGCATAGGTAATTATCAAGGCCCCCTATATTCTCCTTAGACCCTGAGCCCGGAAAGCATCGGCATTCTCTTTGGACTCCTGAGCAGCTCGGATTCTGGTCCCAGACCCCCGAGAGGATCTAGAAAGTAGATCCCCTAATTTGGGGCCCCTATACTACTAAGGGTACTTTATAGGAACCCCCTTTAAGGGATCTACTTTTTGGACTCCTCCCTTAAGCCCTAAACCCTAAAAACCCTAAAACCCTATAGATCCCTTAAAGGGACCCTTAAAGGAACCCCTAAGGGTTCCTCTTTAAGGGATCTACTTTTTGGACTCCTGAGCAGCTCGGATTCTGGCGCACCCCTCGGCAAGCTGGAAACTCGAGCTGGCCAGCCCAGAGCACATAGCACAGGGTTTAGGGCGTCTAAGGGTCCTTACTAAATAGAGCTGGGTCTTGAGGCATACTCTTCTGTAACTATATGGGGTCCAACAAGGATAACATGTAATAATACGAACCATTACTGTTCATACTAATCATTCAGGACCGCCATATCAAGGCCGCCACACTGCCTCCTGTTAGAACTCAGTGGCAGGTGGCATGAGATGCTGGTAAGAGCCTCCATGCTGGTGGGAATATCCCAAGTGCGAAGTTTCAAGAAACGCATTGCGCAAACTGTTGTTGTTGTTGGTATGAGCTGGTCCAATGGAGAGCCGTCACAACAGACAACCCGATACTTTTATTAGAGGTGATAGTAACCGCCCCACCCTGAACCTTAAACCCTAAACGCTAAACCCTAAACCCTCTAATGCCCCGAACCCTATACCCTAAACCCTCTAGTACCCTATACCCGAAACCCTCTAATACCCCAAACCCTATACCCTAAACCCTCTAATTATCCTAAACCCTAAACCCAGACTCCTCGGCCGCAGACTCCTGCCAGCCTGCCAACTTTAACCTGGTCGGTTTCCGAGATCAGTCGAGAGGCAATTCATATAGGGGCTTAATAATGAGAATAGTGTTTTGGGGCCCATTATACTATACTTTCTGGAAGAACCCCCCCAAAAAAAAGGCCATTAGTAACTATTGAAGCCCCAATATTACGACTGGCCACTGCGAGCGCCCCTTCCCTTTTTGCAGCCGGTGTAGGGGCGCTAGTACTTCCCCCTATAATGGTCTAGTAGAGGGCGCTCAACGATTGCAAAACGGGTCTCGAGGTATATTACACTTTAAACGGTATAGGGACAGTTAAAGGGATGGGTGCTTAATGCTGTGGCACTGCCATTGCACAGGGAACGTCTTGAATAGGGCCCCCCCAAAAGCACATAAGCAAAAACAAGGACAGGGATATCCCATATAAACTCCTTTATAATGAAAGCCTTTAAGGTAGGGATATCCCCATGAAATGCTTATGCTTACGTCCTTTTGGGGTCCCTAATTGGAACGACCCCAGCAGCAGGCCCCGACCTGCGAGAACTGACACCCAGCGAGCGGGGACCCGACAGCAACAAGCGGTTAACTTTCTTGGAAAGTTCCCGGCTCATTCCCTGTAAAACTTAAACACGACGATCTGCGATTGCAGCCGATGATCTAATTCAACATCACAGGCTCGTCTGCCTTTGCAGTGTGGGGTCAAGGTGACATGTCATTTCGACACACCATCCTGACATCAAGACACCTCTCCTCACTCCTCACGAGCTCGAGAGTTGGTGGTTCTGAGCCACGAAGCTCTGAAACTCCGGTTTAGCGTTTAGGGTTCTGCGACCACAACTGGCCACTCAATCTGAAACCTTTAACCCTCAAGCCCAAACCCTGAAGCGACGCTGACTTTAGATTCAAATGGAGATTAGATTCAAATGGAGAAGGTTGAAGCCGTTTCATCCTCGTCTCTTCTTGCTTGAGACTTGGCTTCCAAAGCCTCCATCACTGGGGGTGGAGCTTGCACCTCCTGCAATTCAGCGGTCGTATTGGAAGGGTTTATAGGTTTAAATATTCGGAAAGCTCTGGACAGTAGAGCCTCTGATTCGGGACTCTATGCTACGTAGGCCTGCTTTACAGGAAAACATTGATGGGATCTGTGTTGCTGATCTTTCGGAAGGTTTGGAAGGAAGTACTCGGCGTAGGCTGTGAAAGGACGGTCAACTACGGTTGATGACATAAATCCTGCATTACCCTGAGGACCCTATACTATGGGATTTACGGTATATTCCCTATTATGGGCAATGCTTGATTTCTATCATCAAGCGTACGTTACATGTTTGCTGCGACGGCAAGCGCAAACTGTCGATGTGCACTTCCATTGAAACCCGACATCTGCCTGATGCCAACTCCGATCGAAAGTCTCCACGTCATAGGGACCCTTGGGGAGGGGGCGGGGGGGTAGGGGGGAGGGCGGTAGGGGACTATACTTCCTTCACTAGGCCTTCTTAAGTCCTTAGTATGGGCATTACGGCCCCCAACCCCTCCCCCTACCCCGCTAAGGGTCCTTCTGACCACAGTGAGTGAACAAGCTTGACAGCATCTAGAATGATGCCTACATGTATTTGTGCTTTTATGCATGACGTACATAACCTACATACCTACATGGATACATGATCCTACATGCAAACATGCACACATGCATGCCTGCATGTTTCGATATATATGTATATATATATATATATATACATGCATCTTTTGCCAGCGGAGAACCCAAGCAGTCTACGCATGCTTGAAGCATGCCGCTAGATACAGGAAGTATGGATGTGTGGGCGTGGGTGGATGGGTGGGTGGGTGTGGGTGGGTGTGGATGTGCACGTGTGTGCACACACACATATATATATATATACATGTCATGTATGCTTGTGTCTATATGTATACCTATTCTTAGAACTTTTAGTTACTTTAGCATCTTGCAGTTTTCGATGTATTTATTAGATTCATGTGCACATGTATTGATACATGCCCTTGGTTCGTCGAGTTTGCTTATTCTTCCTTAACTTCGGTTCACCAATCAAACAAGACCATCAAGCCCTAAACCATAAATTCTAAACCCTAAACCCTCAACCCTAAACCCTTAAACCCTAAACCCTCAACCCTAAACCCTTAAACCCTAAACCCTCAACCCTAAACCCTTAAACCCTAAACCCTCAACCCATAAACCCTAAACCCTAGGAGCCCCTCAATGGAGCCCTAGAGCCCTGTCCTGGGCCAACTGGAGCGCTGTCCGCCCTCGGCTATTCCTCATGTCCACCTGTGAAAAAGCGGTTTAGGGGTTTTAGGGTTTTAGGGTTTAGGGGTTTTAGGGTTTAGGGTGGAGGGTTTAGGGTTTAAGGGTTTAGGGGTTAAGGATTCTGCGGCCTCTACCGGATCCTGGAAGGTTGACCTCGAAGACCTACTTTTTTGAGGGTTCCTTACTATGCTTGCTATTTATAGTTCCTTAACAAGGTCGGTCTTTCGGCTACAAGTAGGGTCTAGGGAGTCTAGGGGCCGGGGTCTAGGGTTCGGTTCAGAGTTTGGATGGATAGTTTGTGTTGTGTGTGTGTGTGGGTGGGTTCGATGATTTTGAAGTCGGCTTTGGGCTTCATCGTGGGAGTCGTGACATTGGCTTTGAGGCTCAAGGAACTATCCAAAACCCGGCCCATCCTGTTCAGGCGTCCTCTACGCTTGCGTGCGTCTTTCAGGATCTGATGCTTGGGGTTTTGGAAGCTCTGAATAGATCAGTCCTCTTGTGAGGGAAACAGGCAGTCAAAGGAGTCCGAATCTCACACTCGCAGCCCTCTGCCTAGTCCAAAAACGGGTGTGAATACTTAGAAACAACATCCCTTTTTGGCCGTGTCCTGAAAAAGGTATACTGCATCATACCCTCCCCACAAACCCATCCTAATCATTAACCCAGAGCCCCGCGAGGATCCAAAAAGTAGATCCCTTAATGGGGGGTTCCTGTAAAGTACCCTCCGTAGTGAAGCGCCAAAATTAGGGGATCTGCTTTCTAGATCCTCCCGGGGGTCTGGGAAGGTGGCTAGATTATCATGGTTGGGATCATTTGCTTCGCACTTGCGGCGTGATCTAAGCTTCTTACAATACGATTTTGCACTGAAGAAGGCTTGCTCATGAAAGTTCTTTTGTGCCTGAATCTTTAGCGTCTCCCTGAAGTCAGGATTTCTGAAAAGTAGCTGTATCTTATTAAGGGATCCTTATGACAAGGATCGGGTACTTTGGGGACCATATGAGGGTTCCAATTCTCTGAAACTCCCAAATGACACTGCGCCATTTCATTTCACCCGAGCTTACCAAAAGCACTAAACCCTCAGCCGTAAAGCCAAAACCCAACACCCAAAACCCTAAACCCGAAACCCTAAACCCTAACATCGCCGCCCGCCTGCGCCCTGGCCTCCAGCAGCAGGAGCGTAGCTCCAAAGTAACCGTTCAGGATGCTGAGCATCAGCGGTGTGGATCCTGAGTGCAGGGTTTAGGGTTTAGGTGAGGATCCTGAGTACTTTCTTCTTCTGAGCGTATCCAAAAAGACTATGACGACTGCTACTGCTACTGCTAATGCTCCTGCTCCTGCTCCTGCTCCCGCTCCTGCTCCTCGTGCTGCTACTACTGCTCTTCCGACTCAGACTCCCTTTCCTACTGCTGCTGCAATGCCAAATGGAGACACTACATCTCCTGGAGGTTATATGGGAGTTTTCCGTAAATCAGGGGTACCTTATGTTGAGGTCCTTGTCATAAGCATCCTACCATTCAGGCTTTGGGGCCCTCATTGTAATTCGAGTATCATGGGCCCCAGAACCCTATTCTAATTATTCAGGCTCCTACAGTGTTAAGAAGAGCCCAGGCTCCGCCGTGGTGGTAAGCCAGCGTCGTGAGTCTCGAAGGGCTGATCCTATGTCGGAAGCCGTACCTATACTGAACTTAGAACCCTTGCAAAAAATATTATTTTAGCTGTTTCTTAGGGATTATAATGGCCAAAAATTGAAAATTATTTCTAAGTACCCCTAAGGTACACGGTCAGGGCCAGCTTCATGACCCTCGATGATGTGAGATCCAACGTCTCGTTCACATCTGCATCAGCTGATATGAGAAGAGAGACCTAGACTGAACTTGGAACCCTAGCAAAAATTATGAGTTTAGCTGTTTCCTAGGGATTATAATAGCCAAAAAGTAAAAAATATTTCTAAGTACGCCTAAGAGACAGCATCCCTCGACCCACCAGCGATCAACAGCGCCCAGTGGAGGCAGTTGCGAAGGCTAATGTCATGCCTGGCTCATGGTTGGGATAGGATTAAAAATCTAATTTTTATTCCTTATTGGGTTTAAATACCCATAAAAATGTAAAATGTTACCCAACTATGACAAAGATGCGACTCAGTGAGGAGCTTGGTGAGAGTTTGGCAAGAACCATTGGCACAGGCTGTTACGAAGGTGTCAAAACCTAGGCCATCCTGCTGTTGCAGGTCACCGTTTGCGACAGAGAGGAGTCGGACAGCCTCACAGTTATCTGATGTACAAGCCCAGTGCAACGCAGTCGTCTTGAAGCTGTCGCGTACGTTCACGCAAGCTCTTCTAGCCAGGAGCACCTTGATTGTCTCGTTACTACGAAAGTGGGCGGCTATGGACAACACGGACATTTTCTTCGGAAACACTATCTCCTCCTTGCTTCTGGTGATGTAGTCATTGCTGTTTGCACCGTTGTCTATCAGGGCTGCCACCAAGGATGCATCGCCGGATACGACAGCATAGCACAGCGGCGTCCACCCCGCAGTATCACGGTCTTGGACTGTGCAGAAACCGTTTTCGTGCAAAAACCGCTCTACGGCAAGGCTTCCTGGGCTCAGGAATGGATCACTCTGTGGCCGAAAGTCTGGAATCAAACCTTCAAGCGACTTGGCGTCCAGGCCCAGAAGGCAACATGCATATTGCTTGTTCAAGAGGAAGCGATAGCTATGAAGATCACCTCGCTCAAGGAAATATAACAACTTCTTCCAGACCATTTGCAGCACCAGGCGTCTGATGCGAGGGCGATCCTGCTCAAATGTGAGCTCCCCTGCACCGGGGGCATCCAGATGCAGCCTCGCGGGAATCACAAGGCTCTGATGCCCGGCACTCTCGATCACCACGGTTTGACCATCCCCACGTTCTCCCAGCTCTCGAGCAAGCCTCTCAGCGCGGCACCACGCTCGTCGGTTTAGGCTTTCCGTATCAATGATCTGGTTACGATCATGGTGGGCAAGAGCCGGGCAGAGGACGACGAAGTACTGACACCGTGCAACATAGGCAACAATCGTGTCAATCGCCCTCTGCCGGCCCGAAACTGCTTCTGCGTCTGAGCCTTGTGGACAGCTGAGATAGTCGTACCACACATACAGCGATTTTTCGCGCAGCTCTCCAGGTGTTGGAGTTCTCACCCGGCCGAAACAGAACCTAGTTCATGGTTGGGATAGGATTAAAAAAATTGCATTTCTATTCCTTATTGGGTTTAAGTACCCATAAACATGTAAAATGTTACCCAACTACAGTAGAAGCCAGAAAGTTGGAATATCATTATCCTAACCCCTTTATGGTAAAATATAGGGGATCCTACCCTGAAACCATATTCCAACTTTCTGGAGTTCCCTTTAAACATGTAAAATGTTACCCAACTATGACAAAGGAACTCCGTTATAAACCCTAAACCCTAAACCCTGAACCGTGGCTCTGACAAAGGAACTCCGTTATCGGTGAGGTCCGGATCCGGCTGCTTCCAGACAGAAGGTTCCGCAACGCATCCTGCAGAACCTTGGCATACCAGGGAACTCCAGAAAGTTGGAATATGGTTTCTTGGTAGGACACCCTATAATTTACCATAGAAGGGTTAGGATAATCATATTCCAACTTTCTGGCTTTTACCTTATTATACTAGATATTACAGTATATTAATTCTTGCTCTTATTATTATTATCATCATTATTATCATTATTATTGTTGTTATTATTATTATTATTGTTATTATTATTATTATTATTATTATTATTATTATTATTATTATTATTATTATTATTATTATATTACTATCTATTATTACTCCTTTCTTACATTACATCACATTGTATTCTACTATATTATAATATACCATATCATGGTATAATTATATTATACTGCGTTATACTTCAATATATTACATTGCATTACAATATAGTATACATGTGCATATATATATATATACACACACATATGCTGTTATTTTTATTACACTACAACATATGATATATTCTTATATTACTATGATCATTACATTACATTACACTACATTTAGTTCGTGACATTACAATATTCGATTTCGTTATATTATGTTTTACGATGTTGTGTTAACTTATAGTTGTATCTGTTATGCCATATCAGACTATGCCATAATATGCTATGTCACATTCTATTATATGACCTACCTGGCATGATTTTATCTCAAGTTATAGGATAAATGCGTGATAAGAGTGAGATAGGGTTTTAGAAAGGTCGACGAGTAGGAGCTATACACATCATTACACCGGTCGTGACAATACGACCCCTGGCATTGCAGTCCCTAACGCGCAGAACTTCCAGATGATGATGATGCTGCTGCTGCTGATGGTGATGCAGGGCATGGTGCTGCTGCTGATGATGGTGATGATGATGATTGGCGACCACGACCATCAACTTGCTGACACCCCTGCGGATGCAACCTGAAGATCACTTTCGCCAACGCCAGCAACCCCCGCCAGCAATGCTGATTTCGGCGACATAATGCTAAGCTCCACCCGCTCAAGGACACTAAAACCCAACAACAAAGTGAACAAGTACCAAGGGTGGTATAGCAAGCTCTTCCCGAGACCCTTAACCTAAATCCTCACTCAGCAAGTAGAGTCCGACGACCCGCAGCTGCTCCCCTTTGGGGTCCGGATGGACTGCACTCAGCCATTCATGGGACACGAACATGGCTCTCCCGAGCCCCTCCTGGCCGGAATGAGGGTTTGGGGCTTAGGGCTTAGGGTTTAGGGGTTTGGGGTTTCGGGTCGTTGGGTTTAGGGTCTAGGGGTGTCCCCCATGTAATGTTCCTCAGAATGGCCAGGTTCTAGGGCTTATGGCTTGCAGAAACTTACCTTTGGTTAGTAGAGAATGGAGGAATGGGGTACAACTATAACTACTATTACTACCATTCTTCCGTTCCCTACTAACCAAAGGTAAGGAAAGGGGTTGAAGGAACTCAACTTAGAAGTCACAGCGGTCATAGTGCCCGCTTGGAAGGGAGTGAGAAGTGACCAGTCGCCAAGGAAGCTTCATTGCAAGAGGCCTGGATGCGCTGCTGCCACCGCCACCACCACCGGTTTAGGGTTTAGGGTTACCGCCACCGCCACGACAACGACCCGGCCCCTAGCACTCTGACAACGACTATGACGGTTGAAAATACTCCTCATAGCAAGGATTTTGGAAATACTCGCGACGGTCATCCTCAAACTCAGGATTCGGGATCGCGACATCTGCCGGCTCACCGCCATAATCTCGTCACTTCGTGATCATGATCACATGACGCGAATTGATTACTAGGCGGCCTCGATACTGTTGGGCCGAGGGCAAACACGAAGTGGGGGCTGCCTGTAGCAATTCTCCGACCTCTCAGGAAGCAATCCTGTGTTGTTGATAAATACAGCTGAGGTCCTGCAACGGCCGAGGGGGAAGAATAAAAGAGCTAGACAGGAGGAGAGATCCTTATTGAGGAGAATGACAGCAGCACTGCCCCCGGCCATACCAAAAGAAGCAACACAATCGAGAGTCTGAGAGCTGTTGGCCCACAACCCCAAAACCCTAAACCCTAAAAACCCTGAACCTCAAAATGCAGAACAAGTCTCCTGGTACTCTGTAAGAAGCCCGTCGGAACGCAGCTCTTCATGTGCTCTGACGACTGCCATCTGCAGCAGGACGTCGATGTGGACCTCAGGGCGTTAGCCTAAACCTGGCACCCCAACGAGTTCGAGATTCCGGGTTTGGGATTACTGAAAGGCTCATGGGACTTAGTAAGTAAGGTTAAAAGTAGGATACGAGTAGGATAACCCCACTTAGGGGACGTACAACCCCAATTGTGACCTACTTACTAACTAAGTCCCATGATCCTCTAAGTAAAGACTTAGAACCTTCAGCTGTGGGTTTCTGGGCTCTTGTTAAGGAGTTTAGTTTAGGTTACCATCATGGGGATCTCTAGCAAATAAGATGGTTTCCTCCTGATGGTAACTCAAATTGAATCCCTTAACAAGAGCCCTGGTTTGGGATGAACTGGGCTTTGGTTAGTAGAGAATGGAGGAATGGGGTACAATGATAACTACTACGGTTGATGATATAAATCCTGCATTACCCGTTATAAGGAATATACCATGATTCCCATGGTTTAGGGCCCTTAAGGTAATGCAGGATTTATATCATCAACCGTATTACTACCATATTTCCAATCCCTACTCACCAAAGGTAAGTGAAAGGTTTAGAACCTACAGCCGTGGGGTTTTGGAGTTCGAGGCTTCGCTTCCTTGGGATTCTAGGGTTTGGGGCTTGGGGGCTATTTTTTCGGGTTCCCAGGGAGCCGAAGCCCACACCCCTGAGTTTTGGAACCATACCGTGAAACACTTATAAGTTTGATTTAAGGTATATTCCTTGAGGGGCGGGGAATTTGGCTCTCTGGGTTTAGGGTTGGGGGGAAGGGAAGGGTTTAGGGTGCCGAGAACAGGCTTTGGGGTCTGGCGAACAATACATTCGGATGATGGCATCACAAGCACTAGGGCTGGACGTACATAGGCGCCTTAAGCTTCCAGCCCAAGTCAAGAATTCAGAATCTTACTGTTGATGGACAAAATCCTGCATGACCTTAAGGACCCTAAACTATGGGAACTATGGTATATTCCTTATAATGGGTAATGCAGGATTTTGTCCATCAGCAGTATCGCGATCGTGTTGCGAGGAAGACAACCGGATGAATACACGGATGAAGAAAGCTGGTGCAAAGATGGTAGCAACGAGAGCAGCAGCAAGGCTACTGACGACAGCCACACAGCTGCTGATGAGCCGCTCGATTTCTGGCACCCAGCTCATAGCTCATGATACGAGAATGTCGGTTGCTGGTCTAGTATAGCGGTCTTACTAATTTCGAACAGAGCTTTTGGGGCATGCTATTATAACTATGTAGAGACGATATGGGGAAAATATTAGTAAATATTCCGACTCCGTCATTGCATTAAATCTCGCTTGCTACTTTCGGGGTACATGCTTCGGGCACCAGCCAAGCCACTGTGTACATTGGAAATAGCAGGTCCGCTCTGTCAACATCTTCGGCCGTGGGCCTTCGCATGCTTTAACGAACTTTCCGGGGCTGGTGAAATCGCAGTTTTACATTTCCGGAGGAGATTGCGGGACGATGTGATTCAGGAATTCAGAACAAGGGATTTTGAGCTTCAGGTTCAGGTTCTAGACCTGGAATATCCTTACGACCTGCTTCGTCGTTGAACTGCTGTCCGCTCCATACTGACGTTCTTGCCTTTGTCTGCTTGACATTGTCAAGACGCGGGAAACTCACACACGGGTCTGAGCATCATCGGTTTAACTATGACCGGACAAAACCCAACGATTTTGTGAGCTCCTGCCTCTGCCCATGCCTCAAAGCAGACACAAACTTGTCAAGCGCCGTGGGAGCCATGAACAGCTCGGAGTTCGCAGTCAATTGCGCGTGCTCTACATCACGAAGCACTTGGAGATACCTATCCTCATGAGCGCTTCCTGTGTCAAGGACCCTAAACGAAAAGCCTACCGGTGTCTAGGGTGTGCGGCGTCGACCCTCCATTCGGAGCACTGATTTGCGCGTACCTATGTATGCACATATAGTTATATACATATGTACATATGTATTCGATATACTTTAGACTCTACAGTTACTTCTCCATACGCAGACGTACATGTATGCACATCTACCCGCCCTTTTCGTTGAGATCTTCAGGACTCCCTTCGAGCAACGTTTGCGGGTTATGTAGGTCGAGACTGATGCTCTTAAACCCAAACTTCTAACAAACCCCAAGCTGGAGTTTCCGAACATTAGGGGTACCTCATTTTGGGGTCCTCATAATGAATAGGGATCCTACTATTTCGGGTACTATATTGGGGTCCCCTATGGAAACTCCCAAATCAGGTTTGGGCTTAAGGGTTTTGGTGTAGTGTTAAAACAGAAACCCTGGAACCCCCAGACCTCAACCCAGCCAGTCCCTACTTAGAGGATCATGGGATTAGCAAGTACGTTATAATTGGAGTTATAAGTCCCCTAAGTGGGGTTATCCTGATTATAAGCTACTTATAACCTTACTTACTAAGTCCCATGAGCCTTTAAGTACTGCGCGCCCAACGGAATCATGCTTCCACCCCTTCTTCCTAGGCCCTGCACCTTCTGCTTGGGCCTTTGGTCGATTTCGGGGTCTCAAATTCCTCAATGTGAGTCTGTCGACAACAGAAAGATACTCTTTAGGGTCTTTTTCACTGCCCATGTGAGGCCTCAGCGTTCGGGGGTTCAATATAGGGGCCTTAAAAAATTAGAATAGGGTTTTGGCCCACTATACTATAAATATATGAATGACCACCAAAATCGTATAGGTAATTAGTTACTAAAGCCTCTATAGTAGGTTTCGAGGTCAAGCTAAAGGACCAGAAGACTTTCGAGGGGGAGTGGCCAGACTCCTCGGAACGATGGGTTCCCTTTGCTATATGGCCCTTAATAAGCATCACAGGATCATGGGGAGAGGGCGCACGTTATGCTCTGATTTGAAACCTTAAACTTTTTACCCACTCTCTCCATTGGCCTCGCAAGCCTTTGAAACTTTGAACGGATGCTTCTAATATGTATTGCAATATATAGCAAGGGTCCTGTTTGCTATGTGGGGTGCATGGTATAATAAGGAGCCCCCAAACATGGTTTGGTAATTTAGGCCCCTATATTACGTGAAGAACGGTCTCTCACACCAACGCTTTATTCTGTATCCGACGATGCGACACCCTACATCCACTCGTCTAGAGCAGCCCTTAACCCTGTGCCACTCATTGCCACGGAAAGTCTGCATGTCCTCATCTTTCTTGCTTCTCATAAGACCAATGCACTGGGAGGCTGAAACTATGGCCAGAGAAATTCATGTGACTGAACATTCAACGAGTGCTTCAGTCCTACACCTTGTAGGTCCAGCGCCCATTATCACTTAATTCTCCTTTTGACTCGCGAAAACCTCGATGCTTTGGTGAAACCTCCGGCAAGGGTCTAGACCCTCACCTGCAAGCCCAGGAAGTGGAAGGCAATCGAAACCGCTTCCTTTAAACTTCAGTGCCACGTGGGAGTTTCAGATAGAGCGTCCGACCAGAAACAGTTCACAGTATGATCCATATATTCTATTTTATCTTTTATACTTTATATGTTGTCATGTTATAGTATATATTCGACATTGTAGTTACATATACACTGAACATTACGGAACCAAAGACGGTGCCCCTGATTCTTCCATACTTCCCACGTGTGAAGGAGCCTCTGGGAGGACGGGAACACCCCTGACCCGACATCTCCAGAATGGGTTTAGGGTTTAGGGTTTAGGGTTTCGAGGGTAGATGAACCCAGAGGCTCCAAAACCCCTTAACTAAGGAATATACCTCAAACTACAAGAGGAACCCTAATATGATTTAATAAGGTATGTCACAAGGTTTAGGGCCTAGAGTAAGGTTTAGAGTTCAGATTTCTGTGATTATTGTTTGGGGTTTAGGGTCTCGGGCTTAGGCTCTATACCCCAATCTGTCTAGTCACATGGCCTTCGAGGCAAGGACTCGAGATCCTTTACACAGGCCAGTCTGGGCTGCGAGATTTCACTAGATATTCGTATTCTAGTTACATATCCTACATTAAATTCTTCTGAACCCTAAACCCTACGCCCTAA